TCGATAATATTTCCGTGTCTCCCCTCTCTACCCTTTCCGTTGATGTATAGGGCTGATTTTTAATCCTAAGAACTTTCTTTCTTATATTCCTATTAGATGATAACTTTGATTTGTAGACTAATTTTGACCGTTTTCGGCTCTAAAGTTTATTGTTTCGTACGTTCCTTCGTTTCAGCCGAAAAACGTCCACTGCTGGACAAAGGACAAAGTTTATTTTTTAATTAAACCTTATTCAGTGCACTTTTATTGGCAGGAATTCAAATTTGTAGACCTATGTATTTGTAAACCGGTTAAATTGCATACCTATTGAGTTCCTAGGTAGGTACCTAGTTCGAGACAGTTTAAATTTGACAAGTTGGCCAATTAGTTCGCCGAAAATATTTTCACTTTCAATTGACGATGAATTCACTTTGTCCTAATCTGCAAAGCATAACAAAATGCTAAAACGTTACCCCTTAGCTGTACAGTGAAGTACTTAAACATTGACGACGTCATTAGCATGGAGCAATAAACCTGACGGGCGGATTTATAGCGCGAGTGATCCGCGGTCGCTTACGGCCGCGCTCCGGCAAATATCGGTATTTTATAGGATGAGACGCCGAAGCACAGGTTTATCTGTTTAGATCATAACAACTGTCATGTTTATATTCATAACTATATTTTAAGTATTTTTCAATTTTCTGGAGGCAAGTAGGTACAAGCTCTACATTTGAGTGTAGGTAAAAGATTGGTGTAACAGATGGATTTTCAAATAATGATTAAGTATTGACTCCCTTTGAACAGCAGGTTGGTCGTCCACGATCGTCTTTGGATGTCCGGGTTACAACGCACGAGCAATATACGATAATTCCTAAAGTAATTGACTTTAGAAATTATTTCTGTTTTGCTTTAACCTAAATAAAACTATTTCACCATTATTTTGTATGAAAACATTAGTTTTAATGAGCTTTAGCTCAGCACTTCAGAGAATTATTTTAACCTTTCACGCATTAGTTTGATTGGTTTATTAAGTCAGTTTACGACAGAGGCATCAGTGCACAAGTGAGTTTTCCACCAAAACAATCAAGTGTCCCGATAAAGCAAGTCGCCAACTCGGGACCGGCACCTGTTCACGGGACATGGACGTCGTATTGTTTTCCACTCGGCTGTGTCAAGACAATTAAAAAAGAAGCATTGAGAGCTTGAATATTAAGGTGAGAATACCCACTGTTAATAAAAAACACCCCGTCCTAAATGTCTTAATCTAATGTAGACGTGTAAATAAGAATGAACTTAATTTTATATCGTTTGTATTTAATGATCACGACTACACTAGATGCATGTTTCACACAAAACTGATAAGCCGTTTGTATGCAATTTTATACTTCTTAATTTCACGTGGACGAAGCCACGCGCAGAAACTAGAACTGACTAAAAAAGATAATATTTGCAAATGGCGTTGTTAAGGACGTTCGCCCCTGTTTCGCGAATTGCATTCGGGAACCGCTGCATCCAAAGTATCCCCCGAACGTTGTTTAAAATAAAACTACCGCTCACGGTGTCGTTCGGACGGGACAATAAACAAGTCGGTGTTATTTCTAAGTGTTCTGTTCTCCTGAATTTAGTGGGTATCGCCAAAAAGGGAGGATGCTTGTGTAAATAGAAGTCTGGAAACTATTCCGGCGATGCAGGGTGCTGATACTCTGGCTTTACACCAAATATTTGAAACGGTTCAGTATGTCCTTAGGTACGAGTATTAGAGCTTTTGAAACTAGAACTCGTGTACGTTAGGTAATAATTTTCCTACTGAAATTAGCTTATTGGTATTATTATTTCAGTATTTTCTGTTCTACATAATATATTTTATACTTTATCATTTTGTACAACTCAATACAGTAAGTGAAAAACAGGACTAAATGCTTTATTGGTTGGCGCCTCAAAGTATTAACCGCTTGAGTCCCAGACGGCATTAATTAATGTCATAACAATTAATTATCTATTGTGTCTAGATTCGCGGAGCTTGAAGGATTAAAGTTCTGGCTACATTTTAAAATATTTACAAGTTTAATTTACTTGAAAAAAAAAGCAATCAATTCTGAGTCTCCGACAATAAAAAAAAACTGACATGGGTATTAAAAACAGACTATACAGACTCGAACAGAAAACAAACTCCCAGATTTAAATTAAACAAACTTTCCAAATAACCAACTGGCAGTCTATTTAGTTTAAACTTTTTCTTGTGATTATAAATTGAAATCGTATATTACCTACTACTTACTTTATTTATTTTAGACTAGCTTTCCGCCCGCGGCTTCGCCCGCGTGGAATTTTGTCTGTCACAGAAAAACTTTATCACGCGCGCCCCTGTTTCAAAAACCGGGATAAAAACTATCCCATGTCCTTTTCCGGGACTCAAAAACTCTATGCCAAATTTCATCAAAATCGGTTCAGTGGTTTAGGCGTGAAAGTAAGACAGACAGACAGACAGATAGACAGAGTTACTTTCGCATTTATAATATTAGTATAAATGTATAAACGTAGGTACCATCAACCTCTTATACGCGTGACATGTTCCGTTTCTCTCTTCTCGCCTGTTAGCGATTCGGCAGCGTCGGTTCTAGATAATGACACATCGGGAACTCATGTAATGAGACAATTACCATTATCCGAGATTAACTCCAGGACCTGTTCAAGAGATGCGAATACATTGCGCATAATAATAATTATTATGACGTTAAAAGAGCAGTATAGGATGCTGGTTGCAGCTGACCGCAGACTGCAGTGCTCCCGGACTCCAGTGAAAGTCTGTCACGTGTTTTACCCACGTGATCAGCAGTTGTAGGGTGGCTTGATATTATACTTTTTAAAAACATAAAATTATCAGTTGCTAGTAGCCGTTCGGTCGATGCGATCAATATTCAACATTTTGTCTTATCACCAAATCGTGATCCATATTTACCATTTCTAGATAATGCAATTAAAACGTATCAAGTAATCTGCAGATAGTAACTTTCACAATGCAAGTATTTCGACAAAACCGTGATTAGATAAAAGTACTTAGTGATTTTCAAGTCCATCGACTTGTAACTAACGGAAGCCATAAAGACGGGCAAACGGCCATTATAACTTGTGTCGAGTATTCCTAATTAGAGGCATCTTCGGAAAAACTGGCGAGTCCCTAATGAGGTTCTTCATAATTCGCCCGCGGCCGCCCATTGTTCGAGCTGCTTGAGCTCGGCGCCGCGCAACTTTCGTTTGTAATAAACAAAAATTTTTGTTTAAAGTGAATTTAAATATCGAAATTTTCCGTCGTTAAAATTATTACTCACACTTTTACGCGACAAGTTAGGTGATAATATTTAATTTATTAGGGCTCATAAAATTCATGTTTCCTATTGAAACACAAAATATATCTTATCTAAATCAAAAAGGTAATTTATAGAGGATTAAGAAGTACCTACCTACCTAGATAGTTATCTCATGGCTAATCGTTTGATAAGGTTTTTATATTCTATTGCTTTGTTATTTATACAAACCATTTCAGCTCAAGGTAGTCTGCTCAAGATAGAAGAAACGTTCTTGTCAGTATTTGATCCTGGCTCGGATTTTATTAGTACCTACTCATCAACATGTTGTTTATTCATTCCACGAAGCTCGTAGGTACTCGAAGCTGTCCCGAGTCCACAACCTGTAATACAATACCTGATGACATAATTCGTATTACAGATTGTGTAATACAGTTGCGGCGCGCTGTCCTTGGCCGTTATTGCGCCGGCTCCACTAATTAAGACACTTCCCGTCTCGTCTCTCGTTTTAAAAAGCCAATTTCTCTTTGTCATCTCTGAAAACGTTAAAACTCCCAAAGGTATTTTTCCTCGACGAAGTCATTAATACACCCCAAGTCATCGGTCACTCTGAATTTTCCCAGTCGTTATCATGTTCCATAATTAGATTCGTAATAAAACAACACGTTCGCGATTTACCACGTTTTTATTCAGAAATTCAAGTTCGTTAACGTTAGTTAATATAAATTCATTCGCTAGCGTACTTCTAAACAACCTGCTTACGAGTCCAGTCTTCGCGCCCACCGCGCCCGCCCCGCGGCCGCGGCGGCTCTACGATCGCGGTCAATTAGGGCTATCGTTTTTATACTTAACAGTTGGCACCCCTGGCGATTGACAGGACCTTACTCTACAGTGGCGCCATCTTGATGAGTGCAAATGCGATAGTCCTCCTACCACTTTCGCGCTCACCAGTTGGTGCCACTGTCTTCGCTACTAGCAAGTGACAGGACCTTACTCTACAGTGGCGCTAACTGGTGAGCGCTAAAACGATAGCCCTCATTGCTTACTAGTCGAGCGAGATACAGTTCCGCAAGTTGACGGTGTATTTTCAAGCAAATAAATCTTTGAAAACTTTTATTACATCTATTTAGGTTCTAAGTAAATTCAGTTTTACAGTATGTTTATTGTTTAGTAGTAATTCCATAAAATCAAATTTTTTTAATAGAATTTTTGATTATGTGAGATTTATTTGTGTTGTGGTGTAGGCCATCAACTGGCGGAGCGCCCGCAGCCGCCGCGGCCGGAGAGGGCGGCCTTCGTACGCACCGCGCCTCTAATAAACTATAAGATAATAATAATCATAAACCTTATCATACAATCATCACCTTTGGTTGCACTGCTTATTGCTATAGTGAGTTTCATAATGGCAACTACGCATCTATCACCCTTACATAACATACGAGTAGAAGTAGGAAACCTCAGACTTCAATACCAGATAAACTCCGAATATCAAAATAATTACACTGTCGTAACAAAGTAGAGACAAGAGAATCGTTGTAGAGTTTAAATTCTATAATAATAAATGTATTAATATAATTTCATTATAATATAATTTACAATGTTCTAAATAAGTACGTACATGTATTTACAAAAATGCAAGTTGTATAGACACTACATTCTTGCGGGACGTGTGAGCTCTGGCACTAGACACCAGCCGCGACCACTCTGAGGGCTTCCACTGACCAGTCCGCAAGTTACAATATTTACACTTCAGTTTATTCGTTACAAATGACTAGAAATAAGACAATATTTGGCAGCATCTTAGGCTAGTATTGTTGAGTATCATAAATGCAATAGAAATTGTTATCAATTATTTATTTCACCTGTCATGTAATTCGTTTAGTTTTCCCTATCATGTTTAACTATTCTCAGTGGGTGCTCGTATTTGGATGAATATTAAAGTAAATCATAAATATTGTGGTAACAAGTGTTATCAGTTTGTTTAGTTATAATATACAATTTTTAATTCTTGGGAATTTAAAGATACAGGTGCTATCGCTTTTTATTTAAGTGAAAACAACAATTTAATATTTCAATGAATTCTGTCTCTCACAATCATTTCACTATCTGAGACAGCTGATGGACGGATCACACACAATAGACGAAACAATAATTATTAGGCAGATCTTAGTGCTCATATTGAAGATAGTCCAAGTATTCCGAGAATCAAGAAATTCCTGCACTATAATAAAATACAATGTAATAAGTTTAGTAACTGCTTTTAGGGCAGATTGGTGTAGAGATGTGAGGAGTTCGCCGCGCGGTACACTGAAGTGAGTCGAGGGTCCAAGTTCTGGTATTCTTTGCCAGATCGCGGCCGAAGCGTACTAGTCGTTTGCCGCACCACCCTGTGGCGGAAAATACAATTCCGTTAATATACTTATTGATTTATTAATTACAGTAGCCAGTATAAGATGCAATCTTACCGCATGGTGATTGGAGTATCCGAAGATGAATGTGACGAACAGATAGATAAGGTCTCTATGTAATCAGACATATCGGAGGTACCACTTGATGTGCTATGTGTGTCCATTATTCCTAAAACAAAAATACATTATTGATTTTGCGCTAATGTATGACTATGTTTGTTACACAAACACGTCATTATGATTTGTTAATTACCTCTTAAAGGCTTGACAGACAAGACTGGCACTTCAGCTTCTGCTGAAGAAGATTTGGCGGGCACTCGTATTCTCTGCAAGGTAGCGAAATCTCTCAGTGGATCTGTAGACTTAGAGCGTCGAGGTAGCGAGGTGTGGATGCACGCAGCAGCTCGTCTCGCGCTGCGGTAATGCCGCCGAGTCGCTGCAGTCGTCAGGGGAAGCTCGAATTCCGCTATATCGGCTCCGGGCCTCAACGAACAACTTGAAACTCCAGAATCATTTGAACTGGATGAATCCCTATTTCCTCCTGCTTTACCCGGTACTGAAGACGACCGTTTTGTCGGCGGCAATCCTCGACCTCTGGCGCCCTTTGACGCTTCGGAGCTGTCTGCGTCTGAATGCTTATTATCTGCGGCACAGTCGCAAGGAGTTGAAGTGCGGTCACCATCAAGAGCAATATTTCGAAGTGTTTCAATTGAAGACGTGGACCCACGACTACCAACGCTATCTTCAAATTCTTTAACGTCTTCAAGAAATCTGGATGAATCCGCAGAACATGATCGCTTTCTGTACTCTATTCTCTCGATGCGTTCGCGGGGCGCTTCAGAGCTTGATTGAGTATCACCAGCCGTTTGTCGAACTTCTTCTGGCCCACAAAGAGTTGGATTGCTAGCTGATTTTTCTTCTAGTAATCTATTAATTGGACTCTTGGTTGGATGTTTCAAAGTGTGAAATGCAAATCCGCCTATAGGAGACATTGGAGTATAGCCTGCTGGGAGAGATTTATTTTGTTCAAATTTATTACTCTCAATTGTGTTTGGTTCCATCATTAAGTAGTCATCGCTCGTACTACAACTTGTAGATTCCTTTTTATCGTTTTTGGCCTGAAGATGGCCACATTTAGTGCATGTTGGCTTTCCATCTGCATTTGTGAAAGAAGCCGGTTTTAGATTGGCCGTAATTGCATCTAGCTCTGACTGTGTAACTCCGGCTTTCTTCAACAAATCTTTTGCATTCTCATAATGTTCTAAAGATAAAGCGAAATTAAGATTTTCATAATTAGCCAGTGGTCCTTCATCGACTTCAACAGTCTTCGAATCATGGCTTCGACTGATCTGGCAATGCGGGACGTTGTCAATCTGACAATCACGTGATTTTCTTCTTGTCTTACGAGACACATCAATTGTAGCGTATAATGCACTACGATCACTACTAGTATTTGGCATCATGTTTTCCTTGTTTGGCACCAAGTTGTCACTTGACACAGTATTTTTCCTACAATACGGCAATTTTATCCAGTTATTGGCCCAATCCGTTACTCGCTGACAGGCGCAATTAGCTGGCTGGAAGTTTTCGTCAGTATCAATGATCGTGGGCTCTTTTGGCCTCTTTCCAAATTTCAGCAAACATCCGCAAGGCTTTTTTAATATGAGGGTATTTGAAGTAGTACTTTTTGTGATCCTAAATAAATCATTATTTAGACATTCCTTAAGCCTTTTTGGAGTATCGTAGTATTCTCCTTCAACCTGAGGAAAAGAAAAGTAATAAAAATCAATAATTTATGTACAATAACTTCATTATTACAATCATGAAATATACGAGTAATTAAGAGTGAATATTTACCTCTGTCGATGGGAGTTTTGGAACATCATAATTTTCATAAGGACCTACTTTAGAATTATTTTCTTCTATCGTTGCCACGTGCACGCAGCTGCAGGTTTGGGAGGGGAGTGGCATCGGGGGCTTATGGACAAGGTTCAGCTCTAATCTAGTGGGCTTGGGGGGCCTATCCGGGGGTCGATCCGTACAGCGGCATAATTCTTCAGTCTTATTAGTTTTACTAGAAATAATGTCACAACTTTGAGTATTTTCTTGAGGGAGAGATTCTTGTGTATTTTCATTAACTGCTTCCATAGTCCACGCAGGGTTGAAGTGCTTTGCACCTGGCGTGAGGGCTGCGGTGGAAGACCTCGACAATGCGCCTAACTTCGATATGCAGCTCATGCACCGCTCTAGCGTTACATTGCTGTTTCCATTCCACGCATTTGTATCGGTTCCTTCCATAGTTTCGTTGACTGAAGCTGTGTCTGCTAAGCCTAGGTCTTGGAAATTAGTTCTTTCAGCCGATGGCCAATACGGAGATATGGCACCAGCCTCCTCCCCGGTACAAGGATCTTCGTACAGACGAAGGTCCATCGGAGGCAGTGAATGATCGATGGTGTTCAACTCAGATAGTCGCGTGTCAGGTCGATACGCCTTATGTGACTTCGGACTGTCTCCTCCTGTTGTACAACAAAGACATGGTTTCAGAAAAATTCAATTATTGTTGTAGCTCTTTTAAAATATCATATTTAAATTACCTTCATTCCTCTTAGAATTCAGTGGTCGCCTTTTCGGTGACAAGCGACCCTGGGAAGCCAGGTCAAAGTCGTGCGCCAGCTCCTTGGCTTGATCGGTGATAAGGACGTGTAATCCTTCACCTTTCCCGCAATGTGAGCCGCCTTCGAAGCAAAATCTGCCTTCGACCACGCCATAACGCCTGAGTAAAAAACCATTTCATTAGTATAATGATATACATATTTGTATATGACGTGACGTGTGTATCAAGTTGCAGTGGGCGGGGCACATAGCTCGTAGAGACGATGGCCGTTGGGGCAGAAAAGTTCTCGAATGGCGACCACGGGCTGGAAGACGTATCGTGGGCAGGCCTCCTACTAGGTGGACCGACGATCTGGTGAAGGTCGCGGGAAGAGCCTGGATGCGGGCAGCGCAGGACCATTCATTGTGGAAAACCTTGGAGAAGGCCTTTGTCCAGCAGTGGACGTCATTCGGTTGAAACTAACGATACGACGTGTCAGTGTCTAGTAGTAGCCTAGTGCAGGCAGTATACCTGAGGTGCTGCAGCTCCCAAACGCCGAGCAGCCGCGGTGGCACGCCGGCGGTGAGCGCGAAGCGGCGCTCGTGCAGGTGCAGGCGCGCGGGGCCGGCGGGCACGCGCTTGCCGCCGCCGCCACCGCCGCCGGACCCGCCGCCGCCGCCGCTGCCTACCAGCACCAAGTAGTGCCGCGGCTCGCCCAAGTGCGAGCTCACTTTCACCTGTTATGAACATCGTATTGCCATGAATTTTTGCAGAAGGTTAAACATACCAACATTTGAACTAAAGATAACTATTTAGTTTAAAGTAACTTAACTACTGTTATTTATCACGGGCTTGAGTCACAACAGCGTCGTGATTTTAACGCATGCCGCGTTTACGAGTACTTTACAATTGAGATATCTAGACAAAATATCAAAGCGTTTGTGTTTGGCCTTGTTGTATAGGCACAACGAGTGGCCGGAACTTGGCCGCGGCCCAGAGGCGGTTCATAAGCGGTCAGCGCACGAGCCACGAACACAGTGGCTTTGATTGCTACTTTTATTCGAGCCAAACAATAAAAACCGGCAATCAGCGTTTGATGCCAAACGCATATAAAGCAGATGTTCAATTTAAAAGAAAAACATCAGTTTTCATTTCTAAGTTTTCAGTGCAATGCACTTTATGTTTGCACTATGTACATGCCAAGTTCTGCAGCGCTTTGTCGCTCATCTGTCAATAAAATTTTTGCTCACACATGAGAACCTCGCTTTACGGTGCTTGCACTCAACCACCCAAAACGTGAATCAAGTCTAGTAGCCAAAAAGAAAAATGATAAATTTTTTGCTTTTTGGCTCAAGCTCTCCCGACTCGAAGAAATACGTACTATGCTCTGACAGGCAACCAAGTGATTTTCCTCACCTGCCACTGGATGAGCCGCTCGCGGGTCTCAAAGGCCAGGATGGCGACGAGGTCGCGGCACACGAGCGCGAGCGTGTTGGAGTGCTTGTCGAGCGTGAAGCCGCTCTCGCAGCCGAGGTACTGCTGCAGCGACAGCGACGCCTTCGAGTTCCGGTACAGCTACAGGCAGATATCCTCACCTGCCACTGGANTCCAGGTGTGTCACAGCTCTGTTAACGACGACTTTGACCTCCAGCGATTTTGGGAATTAGAAACAATTTCTGAACAAAAGTCTCTCACTCCTGATGAACTTTTGTGTCAATCTTTTTTTGAAAACACGCATACGCGTAATGAGTGTGGGCGNTGCCCGCGCCGCCCCAGCGCGCCTTCGAGTCGCGGTACAGCTGCAGGTGCACGCAGTCTGCGACAAATGTGTACAGCTTAGTTATAAACACATGACGTAGTAGCATACAGATGTGGGCAACAAAGCAGTTTTGTATATTCTTCAGTCTTAACTAAACAATAAAAACTTTTCAACAACGAATTATAGGTAAAAGATTTTATCGCCAATAACACATTACTCATTCTTACATTACTCATAATTCCGATATTGTTTTCTATTTATGATGCTCAAAACTTTTTGAAATATACAAAGAATAGAGTGCTTTTGTGCTGCCTAATATTTTCTTTTTTAATTTAGTAGGTACGCCAAATTTATTTTTGTATGTAACTGTGCAGTTTCTTCTTGCATTTAAACTGTTGAAGTTATTTACTGACATGCCTTAATAAAGTTTACATTTCGCGCTATAAATACCAATTCCCAGTACAATTAAACACAGCTGCGGAACAATAAATCGGCGAATACTATCAGCATTCAACACATCAGCTTATTATATTCGGATCAATAATAACAATAGTGTCAACAGCACATGGCACAATAGACGGGCAATAAAATCTCAATCAGCGGGCGCTGTGTCGTTATTTGCATTTCCCGATGGGCCAAAGGGTAGGGTATCGAGCGAGGGCCGGGACTGTCCCATTCTTCGGGGTTTATCGACGAGAAATAAGTGCAGACCTTGCGCCGAGTGCAGGGCGCCCGGGGTAAACGACCTATGACGCACTTCACTAAAATACAAATCGTAGTTGAGACATTTTACAGAGTCTCCTTGTTACTGACACTTAATAATAATACAGTATCATTTTTTTAACAACATCTTAGTACGTAAATGCGTCGTAATTTATTCAATTCAATAAACTTACCGTTTGATAAACAAATTTTAATCNTCTATAACAATTTTAATATTTTTTTCTTCATGTGCTATATAGGAAATATTAATATTGCAAACAATTCATCACGGCTTATCTACCTAACAGACTGCATGAAATAATTGTCTGTAAATAAATCTTAATCCGTGTAGGTACGTTAGAAAACGATGACTTACGAGTAACCGTGGTACCCTTTGTAAAATAACATCAAGGGAAATCACGCGAGATGACTGTTATGTCGCAAATGCAAAGATAAAGAAAACAAATGCCCATCGGGGGCCATCCCTAAACACGCACTTAGCGAGGGGGTCAGCGGGCGACAGATTTTGTACTTTGGAAGAAAAATGACCCACAAACGCGGAGGGGAGCACTGATAAAGCACTTGAAATTTTTATTTTGTATTTTAAATAGAATCACAAAAAATGTTATGTGGATAAAGGAGATTTTTCCTTTGTTTTATTTCAGTTAAACATTCCTACAATACATTTCTGTTTTCTATCAGAAGTTAATCTAAGGTTCCACTTTTTAATATGATGTAATCTACTTCCAAGAAAATGAAATTACACATGAGTAATATTGTGTCACCACCTCGTCCCTCCCTGAAAAAAGTTCTTGGAATAAAAAGGTCCATTACATTTAATTTCAACCTGCCCAAATTCCAACCCGCCAGTGACGCGAGTTATCGCGGCAATCCCCTGTACGCTATTATGAGTCAATGTTGTGTGTCAAATGCGTTACCTGAGACTATTTCACAGTATTATTTCGATATGCTCTACGCGTCTTACTCTCTCGCACAGTATACGAGTGAACGAGCAAAGATTTAGCGACATCTGCTCGCTGCTCCTCTGGACGTAGTCGCCGAGCAACGTCTCTACAAAAAACTCGCCCGTCCATGAACGATTTACCACCTATTACACAATAACATTTTTCTTTCGAAACCATTGGAGCAAAATTATTTGTCAATAGAAGCTCAAAAAGAAGGCCATAAAACGTAATGGGAATAGCCTCAATATTTACTCGTCGTCCTAAACAAATAGCTATGTTATTATGTACCAACTTCATGTTCTCAACGATGGTTAATATTCTTATTAGACGTTTAAGATAGGTAAGTAAATATTTTTTTTTGTGCTATGGCTCAAATATTTATTTCAGACTACACCTAAAACTAAACAATTATCTACTCAATACAAAATATTCGTAAACATACATATTTATTCAAGATAAATGCCAATACAAGTGAGGTGCATACACTTCCTATGCACTCGTGTTAGACAAGAAGAGCTTTATTTCCGTTCCGGCGCGTCATGTGGGGTCCCGTCACAGCGACACTCCAGCCCAGAGGAAGTGTGTTACAACAAACAGATCTCTACTATCGTGTGGAGACGCAGTGTTTAATTACCCGCTGCCTTTAATGTACAGGCCGATTCATTTACATTCACAACATCATTTTTGTAGCTTTTGCAAGTGGTTGGTTCCGTGTTTGTAGAGTAATTTTTACGTTCCTAAATGCAAACTTTGGTTAATCATTAGTACTATGAACGGTTAAATCAAAATCAATTATTATGGCTGGGTTGCACCATCTTACTTTAACTTTGACAAACGTCAAAAATTTGTCAAACTCCATACAAAAAGCACCGGTTATTGTCAAAGTTACGGTCCAAGTATGTTAGTGCAACTCAGCCTATGAAATTACTCATTAAATTACATCAACAGATTTTAATTGTATCCATTGCATTTATAAAGTTTTCGTACTGTCCAAAATATTTGGTCAACAAAATTTTTTTCTATTCATCATAATTAAATATGATCACCATGTACGTGTGATTTACCATAATCTGTGGCGAGAAGCGTCAATACAGAGATGCGTGCGCGTCGGTCGTGACGTCACACGCGCGGCTTTGATATAAACCGTACACTCGTAAAACAATTTATACTCTGTTGATTGCCTTCATTTAGTGCTGTACCACCCTCGACGTTTCAGGGTTTTCCTTTATGCCGAGCTCTACTTATCATTATACTACATTCCTAACATAATAGTAATAGGTATAAGATCTCTTATTAGGTAACTCAATTTACTGCAAATATTAAAAACATGACCAGTATTTCGCAACGACTGCGACAACGATAATAATAAAAGATGCATACAGAGTTGTACTCGTTGATCAAATTACAAATAATTGTTTGCGTGAGACATTATAGCGCCATTTTTCACTTGATGAACTGCGTGAATATTTCATGAGACGGGCGCATCGCAATTAACGAAAAACTTCCACACTGCGACCGATAATCAGCCGTAATTCTGCGCAAACATAAAATTTTCAATGCAAATTAACGAAATTGGTATCAAATTTTCCGTGGCGGGTGGCCGGTCCAATTATTATATTTAAATAATGTGTGAGCGATCGTTAGAGGCGCGGTTCGTATAATTTGCGTTTCAATTAGTGTGCACTCGGCGCGGTAATTACGGCGCTAACCTCGCCGCGGCGGATGCTGGGCCAGGCGGCGCCCTGGCGGTAGGCTCGGCCTGCTTCTTGCCAAAAATATTCCTGATGAAGCTAAATAGTGTATGTGTCTGTCTGTCTATGTCTTTTTGTTTCTTTGAACTGTATGTCACCACAGTCTAACATCTATGAATTATGTGGAAATCACTTTCTCATAAGCTCATGAGGAAGCTTTCAGCTCAAACAGACTTTGTCCACCTGAGCTTTTTGCTATTACATTATAAGTGGGTACTTCTTATATTTTTTTTTATTTATTAATTAGTGTGATATAAAAGTGTATAAATAAAGTTTAGTTCTCGCAATATAGTCCAGTCAATAAAGCATTATAGATGGAAATCCGTGGAACACAATTTTTGACATCGGGACTTTATTTAGACTAGTTAGGAGGTGAACATAGCAAAAGTCCCCGCTCTTAGCCCTTGAGCCGCCGGAGAGAGGGGAGTTTAAAGGTACCACTTTTCGGTTTTTCGCTTAATCCTCGGAAACTATGCGTCCTAGTGACATGACTACTATGAACCAAAAAAAGCTTATTCAATTTTCTACAGGTGAGATAGTCAAGTTATTCTATATCTTGTATAGTTTTCGCGGCATCTGCTCTAGAAGGTCTGTAATATTGGAAATTTTATTTTTGTCTTACATGTTCCCATTAGGAGAAAATCGACTAAATCAACATTGAGCTAATATTCTAGACGTGCGGGAGCATGTTAAGCCTAGTTCCAGGGAGGGGACTGCACCGTGCGTATATTTAGACGAACCACTTGGAGCCACTTTTGACTCCTCATCACTCAAAAAGTACTGTGCATTAACACTTTAAATTTGGCTCATGTGTTGAGACTTGCAAGATAAACATCAGCTTCAAATTTCATAAACATACCTCAAACGGTTCTTTAGGTATTGACGTCCAAAAATCTACATGGCTGACCTATAAGACCAAATTCTAACCACTTCCAGATGACCTTAAAGGTTCAAATTTGGTATCCAGATAGGTAGTTGTGTGAATACAAAGAAACAAGTAAAAAATCAGTAAATTTTAATATTTCACAGGTGATAGATAGATTTTAGTGCCCTAAATGTCGATTTTTGAACGTCAATGCCTAAATAACCGTTTGAGGTATATTTATGAAATTTTAAGCTGATGTTTATCTTGCAAGTCTCAACACATGAGCCAAATTTGAAGTGTTAATGCACAGTACTTTTTGAGTGATGAGGAGTCAAAAGTGGCTCCAAGTGGTTCGTCTAAATATACGCACGGTGCAGTCCCCTCCCTGGAACTAGGCTTAACATGCTCCCGCATGTCTAGAATATTAGCTCAATGTTGATTTAGTCGATTTTCTCCTGATGGGAACATGTAAGACAAAAATAAAATTTCCAATATTACAGACCTTCTAGAGCAGATGCCGCGAAAACTATACAAGATATAGAATAACTTGACTATCTCACCTGTAGCAAATTGAATAAGCTTTTTTTGGTTCATAGTAGTCATGTCACTAGGACGCATAGTTTCCGAGGATTAAGCGAAAAACCGAAAAGTGGTACCTTTAAACCGCCCTCTCCCCGCCGGCTTAAGGGCTAAGGGCGGGGACTTTTGCTATGTTCACCTCCTAACTAGTCTAAATAAAGTCCCGAGGTCAGAAATTGTGTTCCATGGATTTCT